ATCCCTTTTGAGTACTTGACACGTCCTTGCCATTTCTGTATGCGCCTCCCCTATCTTCATTTAGCTAAATAAATTCTTACATTTTGTCATAAACTCCTCCTCATGTATGCTAGTCTTGCATTCTCTCTTCGTTGTTCTTATAATGTCTTCCATCATGACTAAGGTAGTCAGAGTAAGAGTGGTTGGGTAACTCTTGCGGGCCCTCACACACTACTCTCACTGTAACTGATGCTCTCTGTAATTATATTTTACAGAAATTGCAGGAATATCTCTCTCTCTTCCCCCTCCTCCATCTTTCGTGTAGCCTCTCTGACATGTTGTGATGGGAAGTTTGTTACCATCATCAGCTTGTATTTTCAGGTCTCGCCCCCTCTCCTCCTGTGTCCATTGTGTCGCATTCAATCCTTAAGGATTTAAGTCACTGCAACGATAAAACAAAAAGTTTTGCTTTTTGCGTGTGGGCCGTGCAAGTGTCGTATTGCACTGTGTGTATAAGGGCTGTGTCTGCTTCCTCATATTCCTGTCAGGTCTCCGGTCTCTCAACAGTCTACCTCTCAACCACTACCTCTATTTTCACTCTTCTAGCGTTATCTTCATTGTATAATTTCTCAAGCCATTTGATTCCTCAATGCTTTTCTCTTCGTACTTTAATTTCTTTTTTTTTTACTCTCCTCCTCCTGTTTTTTTCTTGATCTGGATCTAACCAGGGAAAAAATGTGCAAGTTGTCATGCCTATGAGTTTTGTCTCAAATATAGCCATAACGTCTTGTTTGTGCACCAATGTTCTTTACCTCATGCCTATTCGCTTTCTTAGTACTCGGGTTGAGCTTTGGCTCTTTGGTTTTGCCTCTTGACTGTCACTCAACTGAGATTGTCTCTCTGTGTACTCACCTAATTGTGCTTGCGGGGGTTGAGCTTTGGCTCTTTGGTCCCGCCTCTCAACTGTCAATCAACTGGTGTACAGATTCCTGAGCCTACTGGGCTCTATCATATCTACATTTGAAACTGTGTATGAAGTCAGCCTCCACCACATCACTTCCTAGTGCATTCCATTAATTAACTACTCTGACACTGAAAAAATTCTTTCTAACGTCTCTTTGGCTCATCTGGGTACTAAGTTTCCACCTGTGTCCCCTTGTTCGTGTCCCACCCCATGAGTGTGTGTGTCTTAGTGTGTCTCAACATTTGTGCATCACAACGTGAGAATTAGTTTTCTAGATCACAACCTCTGTGTCAGGGAGGTTTGGGAAAGAGCGAGAGGGGGGGGGGAGATCCGATCCCCCATCCTTGGGGGATCGGATCTTAATGGTAGGTCTGGGATAACGAACGTAAGGGAGGGGCATGTTAGGGGAGGTAGTTATGAGGGCTGTGGTGCTGGGGATCGGACGCAGTATGGCTGGGGGAAGGGGGGGGGGGGTTGAGATTCCAGGAGGAAAGGAAGAAAGATCTGAATCTAGGAGGGACAAGAGGAAGGGAGATTTTAGGGCGTGCCTCAGAGATGACAAAGACTTGAATGATGACCAAACCACACACCAGAGAATGAAGAAACGACGACGTTTCGATCCGTCCTGGACCGTTATTCATCCTGGATCATGGATAATGGTCCAGGACCGACTGAGACGTCGTAGTTCTTCATCCTCTGGTGTGTGGTTTAGTCATAATTTCTTCGGGCACGTTATTGACTGATCGTCTGCACAAGGACATGAATGGTGAGTGTGGGTGAAATTGTTAAAGGGAGTGAAGAATTGTGCTGCTGATGGCGGAGACTACAGTGACTGAAGTGGTTTGGGTTGGGTGGTGCTGGGACTGGGCAGAGATGAAGGGAGGTAGAGCTACGACAAGTGGTGCTGGGACTGGGGCAGAGATGAAGGGAGGTAGAGCTATGCCAAGTGGTGCTGGGACTGGGGCAGAGATGAAGGGAGGTAGAGCTACGACAAGTGGTGCTGGGACTGGGGCAGGGGTGAAGGGAGGTAGAGCTACGACAAGTGGTGCTGGGACTGGGGCAGGGGTGAAGGGAGGTAGAGCTATGACAAGTGGTGCTGGGACTGGGGCAGAGATGAAGGGAGGTAGAGCTACGACAAGTGGTGCTGGGACTGGGGCAGAGATGAAGGGAGGTAGAGCTATTACAAGTGGTGCTGGGACTGGGGCAGAGATGAAGGGAGGTAGAGCTATGACAAGTGGTGCTGGGACTGGGGCAGAGATGAAGGGAGGTAGAGCTGCAAGTGCCATTTGGATTCCTATAGTCTGCGATGGCGGTGCTGAAGGTCACCTTCAGTGTGGGTCTGCGGTTGTTGTTGTTGGTGGTGCTGGTCCTGGCCACTACCGCGGTCAGCGTCGGGTTGAGGGCACTGACGCTGGCGAGGATGTCATCGTCGCGGGCGGAGATCCATGTGGTGATGTGTCTGTCAAACACAGTCCGCCAGGTAGCGTCGTGGAGGAGTGAGGGTTAGGGCCGGCGTCTAGCAGGTGGTCGTGGTGGAGGCGGCGAATAGGTTCTCCAGGTCGTTGTCACTGGAGAAGAGATAACAAGGTCACCTTCAGTGATGAAGGTCACTGAAGGTGACCTTCAGCACGGTCATCGCAGCGACCCACGATACAGACAGCAAGTGCTACCGGTACTCCCACTACACCAGTAAGTGTACCGAGCAAGTCCAGAAATGCAGTATCTGCGCCCAGGAGTACTACTACACTGTCTGCACATCCTTCCACCGACGCTGCCTACTCTGCAATGGCCCGCACACTGCAGTTTCACTTGACTGTCTCCACCGGCAGGAGGAAATAAAAAAGATGACGGCGACCACAACCTCACCGCAGCCAACCCGCCTACGTCCAGTTTCCAGGCCTTGTCCGAGAACACTGTGGCAGCTGCTGCTACCTCACCACCGCCTAGTCCCTCATCTTGGAGCTCACCTCCGCAGCCCTCACAACCACCACCACCAAGCCTGCAGTAACCACCAACACCACCCTCCTACCGGTACTTCTACACCCTCCTACCGGTACGTCTACACCTCGTCGACAAATTGGCGGGCAACGACATCAACCTATACGTCCACACCATCAACAGGCTGCTCACTGCAACTGTACTTCCGACGGTGACGATACCAGGCGACCTTCTCCCAGCTCCTCCACCTGCGGCCGGCCCGCGTCCGACTCTACAACAGGCCCCACACCCAGCCCGGTAACAGGGACGCCGCCCACCCTGGCTGCCCCTGCCAACGACGACATCACATACAAAGACGACTACGGACCATCGGAAACTCCCACAACCAACACCAAGAGGCTCTCCAGAGCCACCACCTACGTCGACGAGAACGGCCTTGTGACCGACGACTAAAACAAAAGTACTTTCCATGTGCTGTTCATTGCGCCCAGCGAGTTCAATAGCAACGTACACACCAGACGACAATTGGCCCACAGATGTAACAAGATAATCAGCCAGAACACATACTCGCACCCCATGTATGGCCACGCCCACACCATGAACTGTTACACGGATCTCACAATACTGAAAAAAGAATACGGCGACCCAGAACTCCACCGGAAATTCCCAGACGGACAAATGCAATTCCTCGAAAAGGACGACGATCCTGATGGTACCAAACTACCGAAGTTGTTCTGTTCAGATGTAAAGCGTCGCTTTGTACATTAAACTGCCACCTGGCGACCAAGCGTCCTGCGGGCCATAAACTGCGAGCCACCGTGAAGACCCCTTCCATCCATCCATCCATCCATCCATCCATCCATCCACAGGTCTCCAGTATCAGCTACTGGTACTGGTAATGGCGCCAAACACCTTCCACTTACGGGGTATTCATGCCCGTGCCTCCTCTTGGGATGGCTTAATCTTTATCAATCAATCAATCAATCTATAGTCTCGAGTTGTGGTCACGCCTTAGTTGGCCTCTGCCCTACCTGCTGTTATCCTGCGTAATCTAGGATTATCCTTGCCTCAGCTCACGTCCCCTCTGATAGAGTAAACCCCCCTCCCTCCCCCTCCCTCTGCCTTAATCTCTCCTGCAGTGGCCTGTCTGGACACATGTTTCTCTGTACAGATGTGTTGCACTGGACGATTGTGTAGCACAATCCAGTTTTCACGTTCTGATGTGCAGGCTGCTGACTCTACTTTGAAGTCTTTAATTACTAGAACCTGCAGAGTTGTCAGGCTTTCTGGCAACGTTGCAGCCTTCTTTAATTACTAGAACCTGCAGAGTTGTCAGGCTTTCTGGCAACGTTGCAGCCTCCCTCGAGCTGCAACATTTCCAGATGCATAAATCATTTTCCTGGAAATAATTTCTACCGGGCAAACAGCCTATAAAACACAAGTTCTTCCGCACGATAAACCTACAGGAGAAAAATACAAAACCAAAAAAAATATGGGATGAACGCTCAGCCGCACAGCCTTCCTGGACACATCCCGCTGGACACATCCCACTGGATACATCCCACTGGACACATCCCACTGGATACATCCCGCTGGACACATCCCACTGGATACATCCCGCTGGACACATCCCACTGGACACATCCCACTGGTCACATCCCACTGGACACATCCCGCTGGACACATCCCACTGGATACATCCCACTGGGCACATCCCGCTGGACACATCCCGCTGGACACGTCTCACTGGACACATCCCACTGGGCACATCCCACTGGACACATTCCACTGGGCACATCTCACTGGACACATCTCACTGGTCACATCTCACTGGCCACATCCCACTGGACACATCCCACTGGACACATCCCACTGGACACATCCCACTGGTCACATCTCACTGGGCACATCCCACTGGACACATTCCACTGGGCACATCTCACTGGACACATCGCACTGGACACATCCCACTGGATACATCCACCTGGACACATCCCACTGGACACATCCCGCTGGACACATCCCACTGGACACATCCCACTGGACACATCCCACTGGACACATCCCGCTGGACACATCCCACTGGACACATCCCACTAGACACAAGCAGCATTTACGATCATAGGGGCTTATAGACAAAAAAATCAAACATGCTGTTGTGTACACGTGGTCGGTGGTTGGTCTCCACGTGCTGTTGTGTACACGTGGTCGGTGGTTGGTCTCCACGTGCTGTTGTGTACACGTGGTCGGTGGTTGGTCTCCACGTGCCCTTGTGTACACGTGGTCGGTGGTTGGTCTCCACGTGCTCTTGTGTACACGTGGTCGGTGGTTGTCCTCCACGTGCCCTTGTGTACACGTGGTCGGTGGTTGTCCTCCACGTGCCCTTGTGTACACGTGGTCGGTGGTTGTCCTCCACGTGCCCTTGTGTACACGTGGTCGGTGGTTGTCCTCCATGTGCTCTTGTGTACACGTGGTCGGTGGTTGTCCTCCACGTGCTCTTGTGTACACGTGGTCGGTGGTTGGTCTCCACGTGCCCTTGTGTACACGTGGTCGGTGGTTGCTCTCCACGTGCTCTTGTGTACACGTGGTCGGTGGTTGGTCTCCACGTGCTGTTGTGTACACGTGGTCGGTGGGTGCTCTCCACGTGCTCTTGTGTACACGTGGTCGGTGGTTGGTCTCCACGTGCTGTTGTGTACACGTGGTCGGTGGTTGGTCTCCACGTGCTGTTGTGTACACGTGGTCGGTGGTTGTCCTCCACGTGCCCTTGTGTACACGTGGTCGGTGGTTGTCCTCCACGTGCTGTTGTGTACACGTGGTCGGTGGTTGTCCTCCACGTGCTGTTGTGTACACGTGGTCGGTGGTTGTCCTCCACGTGCTGTTGTGTACACGTGGTCGGTGGTTGTCCTCCACGTGCTGTTGTGTACACGTGGTCGGTGGTTGTCCTCCACGTGCTGTTGTGTACACGTGGTCGGTGGTTGTCCTCCACGTGCTGTTGTGTACACGTGGTCGGTGGTTGTCCTCCACGTGCTGTTGTGTACACGTGGTCGGTGGTTGTCCTCCACGTGCTGTTGTGTACACGTGGTCGGTGGTTGTCCTCCACGTGCTGTTGTGTACACGTGGTCGGTGGTTGTCCTCCACGTGCTGTTGTGTACACGTGGTCGGTGGTTATCATCATGATGGTCGTACAATACAGACGTGTCATGACACAGCAGTGAGCACACCTGGTCGCTTGCTCCTCACCGCAGGTGTGTGTGTGTGTGTGTGTGTGTGTGTGTGTGTGTGTGTGTGTGTGTGTGTGTGTGTGTGTGTGTGTGTGTGTGTGTGTGTGTGTGTGTGTGTGTGTGTGTGTGCGCGCGTTTGTGTGTGTGTGTGTGTGTTCACCTAGTTGTGCTTGCGGGGGGTTGAGCTCTGCTCTTTAGGCCCGTCATTCAACTGTCAATCAACTGTTACTAACTACTATTTTTTTCCACATACACACAGACACCCAGGAAGCAGCCTGTAACAGTTGTCTAATTCCTAGGTACCTATTTACTGCTAGGTTAACAGACGCATCAGGGTGAAAGAAACTCTGCCCATTTGTTTCTACCATCACCGGAGATCGAACCCGGACCCAAGGATTATGAGTCCAGAGCGCTGTCCAATCAGCTATCAGGTCCCCTGTGTGTGTGGTGTGTGTGTATGGGGGGGGGGAAGAGTGCACGTAGGTTAACAAAGGTGTGTGTGCCGTTGAGTGCCGTGAAAGAGCCCCTGGTTTAGGTCTCTAATCAACGTTCTGATGTTAGCGTCGCGTATCCTGCTGATGTTACCGTGCTTGTGAGCCTCTGGTGTTTGTGGTTAAATTACATCCATTAAAAAAGACATTGCATCTTTCTAACCCTTTCCTTACTTTCCCCCTTTTGATGCATATATATACTTTCTTGACTATTTCTCTTTTTCTCAACTTCATTACCTTACACTTATTGGAACTGAATTCTAGCAACCTTTGTTTACCTACGAGGAGGAGGTGGTGGTGGTGGGGCACTGATGGTAGGTGTGGAACACGAGGCAGTACTCAGTGTGTGGTGAACAGTGCTCTGAACGAGACGGAAGAGAGGGAGAGCAGGAGAAGAGAAGAGAATGTGCTATAGCCGGATATCTGGCCTGGTAACATTACATGTATAGTGCTTAGTTCGCGGCTTACTGAGAGGAGCTCAGTGTGGTGAGACGGGGGCCATGACGGGGCGCCTCACACCTGGCTGGACACCGCTTTGGATTCGTAGTCCTGAGGTTCCGGGTTCGATCCCCGGTGGAGGCGGAGACAAATGGGCAAAAAATTATTGTTACCCTGATGCCCCTATTCACCTAGCAGTAAATAGGTACCTGGGAGTTAGACAGCTGCTACGGGCTACTTCCTGGGGATGTGTAACAAAAAAAAAGAGGCCTGGTCGAGGACAGGGCCGCGGGGACGCTAAGCCCCGAAATCATCTCAAGATAACCTCAAGATAACCTCAAGATAACCAGTATAGTGTAGACACCGACCACACCTGTAGCGGTAGAGGAGAAGAAAGGTGTAACTCTGTAAGTCGAAGGTTAATGGCTCAACTTCCTTTACTTTGGTGAGGATAAAGATGATGAAGGGGCACAGGTGAAGGGAAATGGGAAATACAGTGAGAGTTATGAGAGCGGCCTGCCTTCATGTGTGTGTGAGGGGGGGGAGGGGGGGGGCAGGGGGCACCTAACCTTGCTCTCTCTGTATTTCAACATATATGGACGCCCACAACACACATATGTGACCCCCTCCCTGCACCCTCCCCCCCCCCACACGCATCCCCCCACACGCCCCCCCCCCAACACGCCCCCCAGCACCCCCCTCCCAATCCCCCATCCCCCGGTATAATAAAACCAATGATCTCCAAGCAATAACCGGTTAAGTTTAGTATTAAATTCTCTGTGGGACATTAATGTTGTCTTCGCTACACGTCACGTGCTGAGAGAGGCATCTTACGCCACTTAATTCCACTGTCTTTTACGTGTTTCAGTACACACGGACAGATTAATGGCTGAGATAAAGGGCCATTAGGGCGGCCTCCCGCCTGGCCCAGACAAGCCATTATATTTTTCAATTATTCTATAACTTAATTATAGTTCTGGGTTAATGTTGTCTGAGCCTCGTGGGTGGACACCCCCTCTCTCCCACCCCTGTGGGAGGACACCCACTCTCCCGCCCCCGTGGGAGGACACCCCCCCTCTCTCGCCCCCGTGGGAGGACACCCACTCTCCCGCCCCCGTGGGAGGACACCCACTCTCCCGCCCCCGTGGGATCCGGATTGGTCTTCTCACAATTGTGCCTTCCTCACTGGCTCCTACCTGGCCTCCCTTTTGTTTTTGAGTGGGGGGGGGGTAAAAAGGAAGGAGAGGCATAGGTGAAGGGAAGTATAGAAGTGAGAAATACAGTGAGAGGTATGAAAGCAGATACATACACACATACATACTCAATTTTTCCAATTATTGGGAGAAGGATTTCTAGTCAGTATTTCATCTGGGAATTATGTACTGTGGGGCGGGGTTTGCATCTAGTAAATCGAGGCTCTTGGGCCACCAGCTGTGGGAGCGGGGCGTCTCATCTTGGGCCACCAGCTGTGGGAGCGGGGCGTCTCATCTTGGGCCACCAGCTGTGGGAGCGGGGCGTCTCATCTTGGGCCACCAGCTGTGGGAGCGGGGCGTCTCATCTTGGGCCACCAGCTGTGGGATCGGGGCGTCTCATCTTGGGCCACCAGCAGTGGGAGTGGGGCGTCTCATCTTGGGCCACCAGCTGTGGGAGCGGGGCGTCTCATCTTGGGCCACCAGCAGTGGGAGTGGGGCGTCTCATCTTGGGCCACCAGCTGTGGGAGCGGGGCGTCTCATCTTGGAGCAATCTTTCAAACATTGGGTCCTCTAACATTTCGATGGTGTTCCACACCCTGATGGCTTGGTGCTGCAGTCTGATGTTTAGTGGCTGTATGTTCAGGAGTTCGTGGAGCTCCTGGATTGTCTGATCATATGGTGGACGGTGTTTTGCTGCTCTCCTTAGCGCCTTATTTTGCACTGCTTGCAGTTTCTGCATGTTAGTTTTCTTTATGGTGTGTAGTGGTACTGGGGGATACTCTAGATGCGGCCGAACTAGAGCCTTATATAGGTGGATCTGAATGTTAGTACTGAGGCTTCGGAATCTCCTCAATTTTCCTAAGGCTGCTTTGGCTTTGTCTAGTCGGTCCCTTACATGGATTTGTATCCCTGTTCTATTTACCATAAGTCCCAGTATTCTGCCAACCTCCGCATATTGGATCGGATGGTTGTCAAGGATGATGGGGTCCGGGTTTCTTTTCGCAATGTGTATTATCTGAAACTTTTGTTGATGCTTATTTTCCATTGCTTGTCAAAGTTTTTTATGAGTTCAATTGCCGCCTTGGTCTTGTCGGCTAGTAGCGGCTTTGATGGGCCCGGTTGGCATATTATTTGGGTGACATCGTCAGCGTATGTGATGTATTCTCCATGTTGGGGGTTGGGGTAGGTCAGCTGTATATATGTTGAATAGAGTGGGGGAGAGGCAGCTTCCTTGTGGTACTCCACTTTTCAATTCTATTGTGTCACCCAAGTAGCTCTGCCGATATTAAGCCTAGCAGTTCTGTTGTCTATAAAGCTGCAGAGAGTAGCAGTAAATCTTTCAGGAAGTCCTAGTTCAGATATCTTATATTTTAGGCCTGTGTGCCACACTTTGTCGTAGGCTTTCGAAATGTCTCTAAGCACTATATTACACTGATCTTTTTTCGATACTGCGTTGGCTATATGCTGGTAGATCAGGGCTATAGCTGTATGGGCCCCTCTGCGGTTTCTAAACCCATGCTGCCTGGTGTTATACTTCCCTTCCTCCTCCATGTACTTCACAAGTCTCTGATTGATTATATTTTCGAATATTTTACCTTGTACTTCGAGGAGGAAAATTGGCCTGTAATTTTCAGTTTGGGTTGGGGGTTTACCTGGCTTGGGGATTAATCTTATTGTGGCATTCTTGAAGTATGTGGGGAATAGTCCAGATGCAAGAGCTGCATTTATTATACATGTGTATTGATGGAGTGCAATCACTGGTAGGTTGGATCCAATACCAATATCCAATGTACTGATAATATACTGATAATATACTGATAATATACTGATCCAATACCATCTTATTTATCTTGCTGTTGCCCGGCAAGATAAATAGCCTGGTGTCCCTCACCGGCTCCTACTTCACCGTGTGGCTAGGCCCCGTCCTCTTGACTCTCCACTACGTCCCCTTAACCTAACCTAACCAGGTGACCCACGTAACCTATCATTCCCATCCATAGCAGACGTGGATATGTACATAGTAGGCTGCATCTGTAACGTTGGTTACCATGACGTGCAGAACGCGACCGGTTTGTTGCGAGAGGATGTGGGGGGGGAGGGGGGCTTGGCCTCGCCGAGGGTCCGGCTAATTACCCAAAGGTACCCAACGGTACCCAAAGCTTCCTAGCATTACTTAAATAGTGAAGTACTATGATATATTTACTCACTATAATGTTGGTGGTGAATGTACAACATGAAGAAAAAAAAACATTTTTACTCTGAAATAATATAATTTATATAACGAAATTGGGTCCGTCTAATTACCCGCAGCCACAACATTATCGCTTGGATCGTCGACTTCCTGTGGCCTCACCCGCCACTTAGGTTCGTCTAATTTCGTTATAAAAAAGATAATATTTCAGAGTAAATTTTTTTTTAATGTTGTACATTCAGCACCAACATTATAGTAAGTGTATCATAGTTCGTCATTACTTATGAAATGCTAGGAAGCTTTGGGGAGCTTTGGGGGTGACAGGTGTCCATCCCCACGCTCTGAGAGTCCAGTCCGTCCTCCTAAGGTTCCTTAATGTCAAGAAAACGGTCAATGTAAATTACAGTGTCCTCTCCTAACCTACCAGAGAACCCAAAACAGAAAACGGGACTGTACGTCACTTTCGCCAGCCGCTTCCATTTTCTAGTACGACTATTTTTTTCGCCTTAGGTAAAGCATACGAGCGAAAAGCGACGTTCTTCGTGTTAGGACAGGTTGGTGAGGACTGGCCGCACCGCTCATAGATGGCGCCACCGGTGGGTCGCGCGTGTTGCCAGAACATTGTCATGGGAATTGTCAGG